AGCACTGGATGTGGCGTCAAACGTCAAGAGCTGAAACAGAAAGAAATTAAACAACTAAAGAAAACTAAGAGTCACGTGAACTCCATATATTAGGTGTGTTTTTAAACTAAATATGAGGTGTTTGGACAACCAACGCTTAAGTGAGGTAAATAACATGAAGTGCTCAGCTCAGGCTGTCACATCTTACCTCTGTGTACTGGATTCCTCTTTGTGAGCCACCAACAGGAGCTTCAGAAGAGAACAGACACTCAATGAACTCCATCTGGTTGAGTGAGATGTCGGTCTTGAAAGTCCGTAGGCTGGATCCCTGACAGTGGTCATAATTTATCTTCAAACCCTGACCGACAAACCTGCAAACATCAACTCAGGTCAGACAGAAAATTGATATTTGGAATGCAAGAAAAGGAAAAAAAATCCTAAACAAAGAGGAATAAGTTGACAGTGAAGTGTACCTAAGATGATCATGGGGACAAGCCTGATCAAACACTGTCCGAGACTGAAGGAAATCTTCTGAGGGAAGCTGGCCCGGGCTGTCTGTGCTAAAGAAATGTGCAGAAATGGGTCTGAGGGGGCTGGGAGCAGCGTGCGGTGGAGGGAGCGGGTCAATGTGGAGGACTGAGACAGCAAAGCTGCTCAGAGACAACCTCAACACCAACTCAGGTCTTGACTCATCCCCGTGGGTTTTGGATGGATGGGCTGGAAGAGAATGAAAAATGACCCATTTCACCAATAATCTTGTATAACAACAACTGTATAATACGGACACTCAAAAATAAAGTACCAGCCTTTATAAAAAAAAGAAAACAGCCACCATGAGACTGATATTTATAACTAAACATGTGCTGAGTGTCTATCAAATTACAGAAGTGTTTACAGGTTTGTCTTAATAGTTTTTGAGGGAGCTGCGGATCTCGTGACTGGACAGGAGTTTCACTAGTCGGCTTTTCTTTTTGTCGTGGGACATCCACGTAATCGTCCCACAGAGCCTAAAAACAAACACACACCTCTGGTCAAAAGATGCTGTGCATTAAAATGTACATACTTTTTTTTTTTAAAAAGCTGAAAAAAGGACGTACTGTTGTATTTCCAGAGGGAGACTCTCCTGGGGAAGCAGAGTAGTTGCTGTTAAGGGACAAGTCCAAGTCAACGGTGGGTGGTTCTCCCAGAGGAGGGAGGGAGGACAAGCTGTGAGACATGTCCATGTCAGCCATGGAGAAGAACACGTCATCTAGACCAGCACAAAGACACAATAATTAAATAGACGAAATGACATTTACACTCATGAAATATTCTGTTTTAATTCCTATTACTAATAGATAATAATCCTTCCCTGAATGTTTCCATTTTAATAATTTTGGTGCAAATTCTTGGTTCAACAAGGGGTGTGTGTCTTCTTCTGACAACAAAAGTAGGCTTTTCTTTAAGCCATGCATCCATCTCTAAGGTTAAAAAATAATTCCTAAAAGACAAAGGGATGTAGGCTTATCTCATATTTTACCATATAATACATTAAAAATTGGGCAAAAAGCAAAGTGAAAACTGCTGTTTACATGATCTGTATGCACTTCAGAACTCCGCAATAATTATAGGAACAATAATCTAAAGGCAGTGGATGATATCTGCTTTAAGTGTTAAGGTATTTTGTTCTAACCTCGACTCGACACAGTTTTGGTGGTGTGGCTGTCGAAAAGGTCCGAGTCTGTTCCAGCAGCAGCGGTGTCCTTCTTCAGACATCGGTTCAGTTCCAGCTGGAGGCGATACTCATCCTCTTGCTGAATGGGACGATTTTTTTTGTCTTTTGTCCAATCCTGTGCACCTTTACATAGAAAGCAGGACACGCCTAGATAAATAACTGGCTTAGTGACATTGGAACCCCATTTGGGGATCATGTGTTTTATATATAAAATTCAAGATGCTCACGTCCACCAGAGAAAGCTCCAAACATGTCCAAGAGAAGATGAACTTGGCGCGGGGACAGCAAAACAAGTAGTGTATCTATGTGTCCGACAATGTCTAGCTGAGAAGCAGCACAAGCAAAATATCAACAACATCTATAAATAATGTTTCCTATAATGTTTTGCTTTCAGAAAATATTGTTTTACCTTCGCTCCAGGCAGAGCGAGGTTGTTTTTCAGAGTGAGAGACAACTCGATTTTACCACTGAGGCTCCCAACCTGCACAGCCTCAAACGGTGCTGTGGCGGATAGAGGCTCTGTGAACTGTGGATGAGGCTCACAGATTATTTTTGGATTCCAGCTGGGTGAAAGCTTTGGCTCAGTTTCCTGCACAATAAAGGATTTAGAAGCTATAAAGGCTTTTATGAGAAATGCTTTGCCAGTTTTTAAATATATATGGCACCAACCGAAGGAGTGGGTGAAGACCTGCAGCCACGGGACACATCGGAGAACTCGTCCCAGAACACAGTGATTCCTTCCATCTGCATCTTTTTATGTGTGAACGAGGTTGGCTGATGCACATTAAAATTTGGGCTCTCGTCCCCCGTTTCATCACAGTACACAATCCTGAATAAGACCCGCAAAATAATTAGAAATTATGAAAACCTACAACGTGATAAAACTGTAAGGGAAAACTCATGCATTTTGATGCTTTGTGTGCAAAGGCAAAACACCACTTTGTCTTCTGCCCATTATTAGTCTCATCAATATAACCACAACTTACTTGTTTATTCGAATCTCAAGAGCAAATCCAGTTTTTGAATTTTCTGGAATGTGTTCAACTTTGAGAACAGTGTCCAAAAATGTCACTTTGACTCTCCGCAGAACTGGAAGACAACCAAAACAAATCAGTTAGCTCACACGATAACGTGATGCTAAGCTTACGTGTAGAATATACCTGTCTCTATCGTCTCTGCAAACTTTTCCAACCCTTCAAAAGGCTGAAAGCTTTCTCCCATTTCATCAGTGAGCTTCTGACTGAGGCATTCCTTGGCGAGCTGCATGCTGCTTGTCATGAAACTGGACCAGTACATGGGCTCAGTGCCAGAAGCTGCAGGAACAATCAGTGTTAGATGCCATACATCTAACACTTTTTACCATATGACATTAGAAATAGAGATGTGTATCCCTTTACCTGCTCTTGGTCTAGGCCTGAGCACAATCTCCAAACCCTTGACCTCTAGAGCACAGTTTTCCTGTAGCAGCGCAGCCCATGGGACGATCAGAGAAATTGTCTGTATGAACCCTGTGATGACCTCAAAAGGAGCATCTGCTGTTTGTAGGAGCTCATTGAGTGACTGCGGAACAAGAAATGGTGCCTTTACAGTATTACATATGTTCCTTTTTTACAGTTTTTTAGTAAAGAAGTGCAAAGTAAGAGCAGTTTAACACTGCCATATTCCACCCAGTTCTAGCTCACTTTGCTGTATGTAAACTTTGCACAGAATAAATACAACTCTTGTAGATTAGCTATAAAAAATAAAAATACATCATAAGATAATTTGTCTATTTAAACAGTATCATACCCATTTATCCAGCGGAACTTGTGCAAGGGACCCCGTGCCTTGATAAAGGTCAAGGCTAAGCTGATCCAAGCTCAGTTTCTCCTGCAGAAAGTTTCCCAAGTATCGATGCAGGAGGTATCTGCAAGCCCGCTTCTTGATGGACTCAGAGAATGGCCAAGGCATCTTAACTCGGTGGGTGAGCAGCACACAAGTAAGGAAAGTTGACTTGAGGGTCTACAGCTACAAACTTGTAGCGATTCAGACGGCTATAAATAAATCAGTGGTGTTGCAGTTGTGTCATCCTGTGGACTTGAAGATGCTGAGAAACTGTGAGCTCCAGCATCCTTCACATCCCAAGGTTTGGGGCACTTTGGAGGATGTGTCAGCACTCAGAGAAGTGTGTAGGAATTGGTTCGACTCCAGTTTGATGCGCCTATAGAAGAAAAACACAAAGTGCCCCCCCACATCGTAACATATGAATTAATACAAAATATTAAGAACATAACCGTGGTTGACAACCGAAAACAACGAGGTTTTTTGCTGTAACGCGTTAACTCAAGACTGGAACAATAATGAAAAAATACTGTTGGTGGGTTCATATGATAATTAACAATGTAATTTTAAAACTTGTACAACAAAAATAAACCTTTGTCCATTTGTTACACATCGTACTTGCAAAATAGCTGTTGGCCTGCCTCAAATACGATAAACTATGTCAGCTTTTATTTTCATTGACCTAAACACAGCTGTCATGATTCGACATGAAATGTGTTTTGATTGTTGGCTAAACAAAGGCAAGTCACACAGCTAACTAGCCGGCTAGCCCCGGCTATCAAGCGTGAGGTCGAGCCACTAGTCAGTGGAGTTAAGCTAACATTAGCATAGCCAATGGCTAACTTAAGGCTAAAGCTATAGCATTATGCTAGTTGGCCAGCGAGCTAAGCTAAAATCTAATAGTCCTTAATTTGTCAGTCCTGTCGCAGTAAATTTAAACTGATGAGAACACCAAAGTCAAATACAGTAGTTCTTACATAAATATTAAAGAGCACGATTAGCTTAAAATACACATAACGACAGCTCTTAAGTTACCTTCTGATAGAGTTGTTTACAAACACTTTCATGACTCCGCACCAATTCTTACTCGCATTTGGGATAGCTCGGAAGTGAGACTTAAACACTCAAAAGTGCACATTTTCAGTGCACATAAAGAGAAAAAACGAGTTTATAGTCACTGGTCCCAAACAGGAAAATACGTTGTAATCAGCATTTTTGATATAATGCAATTCCCTGTTTTGACTTGTTTCATTTTATTTTTATTCTTCCCCAATTCCTAGCTGTCAGTAAACGCAACATAAATCCCACACATTTAGGGGTGGGATTAGTTGATGATGTCATGACGTAGAGGAACCTTTACGCTCACGTCTCATACAGGCAGGTTTTTTTGGATCGTAAATAAATAAATTTAAAGAAACCAGGAGTAATATATAGAATAGAAAGCGTTTATTTTAACCGAGTTTGTGTTGTTGTTTTTTTTAGGTCAAATTGAAGCAAAGTGGAGTTACGTTGGTTGGAGTGGTCCTTACCCACGCAGAGCAGCTGCTGGAACCTTCTACAACAACCGGAAGAAAACAACCAGCGAGGAGGTGAGGGGAAAAATACAACATTTTTAAATTAATTTATCTTTAAGGCAAATGTCCCATACACTCTCTGAAGGGTGCATTAAAATATATGGATCATTCGTGATTAAAATCTAAAGAGTGACTGGATTACGACCAGTTGCGACCAGTTGTTTTCTCACAGAAGTACTGATTTTAGCCCACATTTACTTCAGCTACAGTCGATCATTACACATAACAACAGTAACCTGACGGTATTTTACTCTTTATGCAGAAATGAAAACCTAATTCAGGTTGTTGACGTTAAACTAAAAACGTTGCATCGTTGTAAAGTTTCCACAAGGTGTCGCTGTTTTTGTGTTTATTAATCAACAACAATAAACACATTCAGTAGTTACAATATAAGTACCATGTTATCTATTCTGATCGTGTTTTTGCTGTTATAAATCTATTTATATCAGTTATGTGAACCCTTCTATTGCAAATAAAGTCCACATTTTTATGTGCTTGTAACGTCAAGAAGCATGGTCAAAAATAAAAAATTCAGAGGTTTATTTAAATGATGGAACATCAAAAGTGACTAAAATAGGTCACAGGAAGCAATGTCCATGGAAGAGTATTTTAGAACCAAGAAGTCAGGCCTTTCTGATGTATTTATACCTAGTTACAACCAGTTTTTGACAAAAGTATGTGGATAAACGTGCTTTGTTTACATTGAGCACGTTCCACCATTTCAGAATCACATCTCAGTAAATCTGAATAACTGCTGGAGTAAATGCTTTCAAACTGTGCCATGTCATAAAGCTCAGGATAACCTTTTGTAGTCTAATTTTATAGTTTGTTATCAGTACCTTTTGAATAAAATGAGTCACATTCAGTCATTGCTGTTAACACCCCCAGTGTAAATCAGTCCAAAATATAAAAACATAAATATACATTTCTACTAATTCCATTTAAAGAAGCGTTATGAAAGCTGCTTTTAATGATGGAAAACTTTAAATCCCATTAACTAAAATTACACTATACATGTGTGTTTGGAAATGGCCTGCTAATTTTTGTATAATAAATTTCAGAATACTGAGGCTGGTATACATTTTTTCTGTCAAGTTTGGCAGAACTGAAATAAAGAACCACGAGACATTTGTTTTTATGTCTGTCCTGAAACCACTTTAATCTGCAGTAAAGCTGTCATTTCTAACCTGGGTCCAAAGCCCGACCCGAAATCTGGCTGGGCCGGGCCATAATAATGTGCTGGATGGGCGGGCCGGGTTTGTGTCGGGCTTTTGATTGCATCAGTGGACGTGCACGGTTGACGATTCAATTATTTGGCAACGTGGCTTGCCCTACATCACCAGACACATGCAGCTATTTGACAGCGTGGAGATCAGCCTTGAAAGAGGTAAAAAAAAAGTTCACAAGTTTCAGATGGGACTGCCAGGCAGCGATCCTTCAGCCCAAATGGATGTTCATTTAGCCGCTGCACTCAGCGGACGCGCGTGGCCGACGACCCAAACAGGTCCTGTCACAATAACAAATTTTGCTGGGCAATTAATTTTCTCAGAAATTATTGCAATAAATTATTGGGATTCGGAAATGATGGATACGAGCAGGGGCCAGGTCGGGTCAGATTTTTTGGACCTGAATGCACCTCTAATCTGCAGCCTCAAACAAAGTTCAGAAAGATTGCAGTGATTAGTCTTTTTTAACTTAATATTACTGTAAAAGTGGTTGATTTTCTGCGGAGAGTTAGGGGTCTGGTGTCTCTGCCCACGTCGATTTCAGTCCCCTCAAAACGATGACTAAGCATGACATTAGGAAATGGTCAGCAGCTGACAGAAACGTGACGTAAACTGAGCTCTGGTGTAAACGGAGCGTTACTGATATTAACTCGTTCAACAACTGCAGAGTGTAGAAAATAGAGTAGGAGTTACTTTAAGTTTATCTGAGTATCGTCTGTTTCACAGTGACGGGGCACATTTGAGTGAGAATTAAAAATAAACAAGAATGTAAGAAGGAACTGTTTTTAAAAACTCATCTCATAATTGGAAATGGCAGTTTACGTATGACATTCATTCCTACAAAACTGGCTTGACATGTAAGTCTCTCAAAGTCACATGCCAGCGTTTCATTTCTGTTTCACACAAATGTGGCTCGATATCATGTAAGAAGCAAAACTGCATCTTATTTATGACCACTTAAAACAGATCAGGGTGCTTTTCTGCTTGGTTTATGTAATAAATTGCAGTAGATGTGATCCAGTCATTTGCAAAATGTAGCCTGTTGCCATGACAATTAAAAGTACCACAAACCCACTCGTCTTGTTGCTCGTTAGGACCAATTTCAGCCTCAGACACTAAACTGTGAGTCGTGATTGTGTCAATAAATGCAGTTGTGTGGTTGCAGGAGATGGAGATTGACTGCCAGGCCGAGGAGTCCATCAGTTACACGTTTGACGAGGACTCTGTTGGACTCTGTGACGTTAAGGACATGAGATTGGAGGCGGAAGCGGTGGTCAACGATGTCCTGTTCGCCGTGGTTGAAATGCACGTGTCGCAAAGTCTGAGCAACGCGTTGGACATGGCCTACATAAACGTGGAGACCAGGGAGAGGAACCGATACTGTCTGGAGCTCACGGAGGCCGGGCTCAGGGTAGGAGGAACTCATCAGAAAACGCTGCAGCCTTTTTTTTTAGTTTAGAGTGTAAATTATCTTTAAAAATACACTTTTTAATTTTGTAACAGGTGGTGGGTTATGCTTTTGATCAAGTGGAGGAGAACCTGAGCACTCAGTATCACGAGACTGTTTACTCTCTCCTGGACACGCTCAGTCCAGGGTACAGGGAAGCGTTTGGGAACGCTCTGCTGCAGAGGCTGGAGACGTTGAAGCAAAACGGACTGTAAACAGGACCAGGAAGTATTTGGGTTTTAGCCTCTTATACCCAAGTTCGGCCTGTTAATGTGATGTCCGACAGCCTAGCTGCCACTACAATTAGGGCTCTGTTGACCCCGCCTTGCTCTGAGTTTCATCAAATTAAATGACTTCATATTAGGGTTTTCTTTTTAGTTTTAGCTTCAGATTAGCTGGATCTGTTGTTTACTTTAATGTGGAAGTATCTTCCATCCTGTGTTTAAGAGTTCTGCTTTATTTCAGTTTTTCTCATCAAAATAATGTAAAAGAAGCATGTTATGGTGATAGTTCCTTCCTCTCTTTCTGTTAATAAACATTTTCATCTAGTTTTTCTTCATCAGCTGTTCAGAGCTCAAGCAGCTATCGCCTTAATGACTGACTTGTAAAAGAAACAAATGCTCCAATAAATATTTAATTAATTCATATTTACTAAGACAAAGAGGTTTTGTTTCAGTGCAGCTCTTGCTAATGTAGGAATGTGTTTTTGTTACATCCTGCACTGTACATTTCATCTTTAGCTCACGTTTTAAGCTGTAAAAGTAGTTTTGTTATTGGTAGCTTTTAGTTTTATGTAGTTGGTGTAAATCTGCAAACTGTTGATGTTAAGTGATAGTTTTTAAGATTGCTGCTAACATTTGTCTGTAACCTGGTTGTTGTTCTTTCTTTGTGTTTTGAACTCTGAAACTTACTTCCTCTGCAAAGTTTTCCTTCCTCATTTTGTACCTCACGACCAATAAAATGTCAAGTTTGTCAGATGTCCCGTGTGTCACATGAGGGTAAGAGATGTGCAGCAGCAGGCAAGAGTTCAAGGTCGACGTGGACATTTGTTTCTGTTGACTTTCATGTGCATTGTACGGTCGATTGCTTCAAAGTAAAACAGTTTTTCAAACTGAACCTTAACGTTGTCGGAGATTTGAGAACTCCCAGTGACGTTAAGGAATTTGTGCCGATGATCTTCTTGCACAAATCTTAAAGCACTTTTTAAATAAGGCATTATTTATCAGTACGGCATCAGTAACATCCTCCAGTTTAGCTGTGTGCAAGGTAAGACAACCTCGTCTTTTATTATTTAAAAAAAAAACAGAACAAAACTAGTTGAACAAAGAAACGTTCGTCTGATGAGTATTCTTGTCCTAACTTGCAGAATGGGCTGAACAGCACCAGAACATCAAGTACATATATGCAAATGCAAATACATTGATAATAAATTGACATGCCTGGATATTATGCAAATGTCCTCTGATGGAGGACATTTGCAAACTGAGGTGTACCGCAAACCCACCCGCACACCAGTACTTGCAGTTTGACTCCCATCACCCGCTGGAGCACAAGTTAGGATTCATCTGGACTCTGTACCACAGAGCAGACAGCGTCCTGACAAACTGGACTGGAGCCAGGCAGAAAGAGAAATCCTACACAAGACAGGCTCTAGAGCAATGTGGATATCCTAACTGGGCCTTCCTGAAAGCAGAGAAGAAACCCAAACAGGACTCCAGTCAGCCATCAGGTGAAAAGGAGGAACCCAGACCAGTGGTCATTCCGTATGTTGAGGGAGTATCAGAGAAACTGAGATGTTTATTTTCTAAACGCAACGTCCCAGTGGCTTTTAAACATCAAAATACATTACGGCAAAGACTGGTTCATCCTAAAAATCCAGTCCCCTGGCACAAACAGAGTAATGTTGTGTATGCTGTTCAGTGTCAGGAGGGTGATCAGTCTTACATCGGGGAAACTAAACAGCCACTGGCCAAAAGGATGGACCAGCACAGAAGATCAACATCATCAGGCCAGGACTCTGCGGTCTACACTCATCTCCAGGCCAGCGGTCACTCTTTCAGTGATGAAGATGTTCACATCCTGGATAGAGAGGAACGATGGTTTGTGAGAGGAGTAAAGGAGGCCATCTTTGTGAAGAGAACATGTCCATCGTTAAAAAGAGGCGGAGGCCTCCATGTTCAACTGTCCCCCTCTTACAATGCTGTTGGTGCTAGTATCACTCAGCCCCCTGTGAATAGCAAGTGGATATCAGGGTGCTAACGATCAATTGTTAGGCTGATGGTCTTCATTAATCATGTGAACAGCTATTTGGCTGTCACCAGCAAACTGGTTGATCCACTGAAGGCGCTCAGAGTTTGTTGCAGCTCCTCAGTCTGACGAAAAGTTTCAACAAGAATCCATCCAGAGCACCAGACTGTGTTACTTTAGAGTGGCAGAGAAGATTTGGAAAGTTATTCATGGGTGAAACCAGTTAACTCAGCTACAAAACCCAACAAAGTTAAATCAGATCCTGGACGGGTTCTTTTTGTTGAGACGTTTCGCCCTTCATCTAAAAGACGTCACCAGTCCAAAGAGCCACAACAAACTCACTCATATAGCACCTACACATAGTGGGTCAACCAGTTTGATGGTTACGTTATGTAAATTCCCGACAGCAGGAAGTGTGATGTGGCTTTGATTTCTATCAAAAATGTCAACCATTTTAAACTTCCACTCATTGTGATACCTGCTGATCTGTACCTGTACCTACATCAGAGTCTCAGCCTGCTGGACAAGAAAAACTGGGAGGTACACCTGCACCTACACCTGCACCTGCCATTCTGTGTTCGTTTCTTCTTTCTGTCCTCAAACCCAGCCGGTCGATGGCCACTCATCCTGAGCCTGGTAATTCTGGAGGTTTCTTCCTGTTAAAAGGGAGTTTTTCCTTTCCACTGTTGCCTTTGTGCTTGCTCAGGATGAGATTGTGATGAAGTAAAGCTTCAACGCATCTGCAGGCTTCCTTTAGATAGTGAACTTTATTAATTGGCTTTTGTATGCGTGAATGTTTCTGTAGTGTCCTGAGACGACCTTGTTGTGATTTGGCGCTGTATAAATAAACTAAATGGAACTGATTGTGTTAAGACGGTTTTTGGAGTCCGCCCTCTCCCCTACCAACTCGTTTGAGGCAGTGATGGCCAGTGGTTCAAAACATCAAAGTTCATGCTCAATAATCCAACAGGTCCTCTGGACCACAACAAAACATGTCTCCCAAAAAGAAAATGTCCAGATGACATGATTTAACTTTTTTTTTTAAATAATTAACTCAACTATGTTGCTCACGTTTTTCAAACAAATGTATCATTTAGGAGGAAATAAACTAAGATTTACCGTATTGCCAACAAGTATTACGATAATAGGTCTAATAATTATTTCCTTTTTGTGCGATGCTGTTTAATCCAGAAAACAGCACTCAAATAGCTTAGACCTATTTTTTAAAGACAAACTAAAATGCAATTAACAATGCTACTTTTACCATTGTTTTAAATACTAACCTAATGTTTAGATTTTAAAATCTTAAATAAAAATTATTTTTCATAAAGTACAGAATATTAGACTGCAGCCTTCAAGGACCTGTACAGAAAGTTATTATTTTAAAAGTATTTATCTTCTTATGAAAATGTTTCGGTTATTAAAAAAATTTAAAATAGTGTTTTAGGAGAAGCCCTTCAAAACAAACGCTCTTTTTTGGGGATTAAATTTGACAAAACAAATGAAGCTCTGGCTGTTTTAATGCACCCCTTCAGATAATTCAGCTTTACAAGCAAGAAAAATAAAAAAATCATGTCAGGAACAGCGGATGGATTAAGAAAAAAAAAAAAAAAAAAAAAAAAAAAAAACTTTACTCCTTCAGTTCTGCTCCATTGAAAAGGTTTCAGCACGTGAACGGATCTGCAATAAATTATTTCAGAAAAAAGTTGCTAAAACAAACAGATGCTTGAACAAAGTTATGTTTTAACTACATCTGTACATTTTAGCCAAATGCAATTAAATTACAAGCACAAAGCATTTGATACAAGTTAGACTTTATTAGAAATTTTGTTCAATCTTCAAGGTTTCTTATTCCACAGAGGAGCAAAAGGTCCTCGTTAAAAACGAGAAAAGTTTTAGTGAAAAATGAAAACATGTACTTCTTTCCGACTACACAGCAGCCAGTAAGACTTGCATTTTAGTGGAATGCAGTTCAGGGTGGACAATCATTAACCTCATTTTCACATCTGCAAGCTTTAAAACTGATCACTAGGCGTGCACGTGCACACACACATTCTAAAATCCCCACCACCTTTGATTGCTGCAGCAATCTAGATGCTTGCGCAGTAGAGTCGTGAAATCAAGACAACTTAAAAATCAACTAAATGAATGTATAAAATGAGCTCTTATTAGATTCACTGGCAATATTTAACAATTTTACTCAAAAAAGGTGAATCCCTTAAGCGAAAGGCTAAAGATCTTTTGTCATCTAGGCTCAAAATTAAACAATCTGAACTGGGAATTTGATGCAGAAAAGGTCCTTCGTGTCATCATCTCGCAGCTCCCACTCCACAACCAGCTTTATCTAGAAAAGCAGAAGAGTCGGTGAGCATCATGTCAGGGAAAAAAGGTAATGGGAGAAAAAGATGCATGATTTGTCACACATAAGAAAAAACAAAAAGAATAATAAAAAAAAAAAGAATCACACATACCGAAAAAATGTATATATCCATATGTCAGTCATTATTTTAGCTAAATTACTCATTTTAAAGAAATGAATAAATAATCAATATACCAATTCAACACCATTCAGTCTGTTTTAGTTATCTGGATCTGTGGCGCCACTTACTGCAGGATACTCGGTCTTCACTGGAAGCGTCGCCACATAGTTATACATCAGCTGCTTCTGGATGGGGCACTGGATTCCGGACTTGCAGCCGTCATTCACAGGAATGGGGAAAGGGATCGGGATGGCAGCGACAATACCGTGAACCACAGCTGTGCTCTCTGTGCTATCCACCACTAAAACACAAAATAAGGATTTTTAAATTCGCGTTGAGTTGTTGATCAGAAGGCCTTTAAAAGGAGATGACACCCAACTCACCACTGTTGAATGTCACATTGACGCTGTAGGACTCTCCTTTGTGAAGCTGGCACGGCTGACTGGGACAGGGGTTTATATTCACTTCTACCACTTTGCCAGAGACAGAACCTGAAAACCAAATCTGAGATTTTACAAATGTGCAACTCATACTGAGGTTAATCACATTTAGACAGACCCCTTAAATACAAATACAATTTCAGATCGACGACGTCTTATAATCATCAACTATCACGGATGAGCATTGTCTCATTTTAGCTCATTGATAGAAATCCAATCTTAATCAATGAGACCCAATGAAAGCACTAAAAAAGGCAAAAGATGAGTTATTTAAATTAATCTAATGTGTTCAAGACAAGTAACTAGGAGTTTAAACTCATGGAAAGAAAAGTACTATATTCTTTGAAACGCATTTATCTATGTAGTTTCATATAAGAACTTCAAATCTACATAATAAAGAAGAACTTAAGGTCAAATGCATTTAAAAACTTACCACAGTCAACAAATTTGACTGGTTGCGCACAGGTGAGTCCCACCAAACAGAACAAAACTACGACACCGAGCCGGCTGTCCATGTTTCTGAGTGTGTATTACCCTAAAACAAACACACAAAAAAACTTAATTACAAGATTTTTGTTGTTAAATAAATTAAAGAGAACCCGGAACAAATGTTTAAAATTATGTTTAAAAATATGTCGCACTCACTCCAGCTAAAGTTTATCACGACTTCAATTTTTTGACTTATTGGCAACACAAACACGACAACACTATATTTACTTAAGCGCTCAGAGGCATAAAACTAAATAAACAAAACGTACCTTCTTAAAGAGTACTTCCTCCCTCTACGCCGAAAATAAACGCCTCATCGTCACGCGATTCAAGCCACGCCTATGCTACTTCCGCCTCGTCTCCCCGTTCTTCTTCGTGGATTTTGAAACGGTAGAATCTGCCAAGTTCCTTTACCACCGTCTACTGGTTCATTTGTCCAACCTTTCTTTATGCAGATCGACCTGACCTGAAATCATACACATGGACTAAAATTGTGTTTAAAACGCAAATACGTAAGCATTTGCAGTTATAAGCAATACTTTTAAACGGTCGCTAAGCATCAAAATGGCAAAAATCCCACAAAAAATTTCCTTTCTTCAGTTTTTTTCTTCATCTGGTTTACATATTTTCTACCTGAATCTATATTTTATAAAAATCCATGTTATTGTGGCTATTCTTTGTTCAAAAACACCCCATTGATGAGTGCTATAAATGACAGGAAAAACGTGAGGCATTTAAACGCATCGCACGTAATCAGGGGCGGGTAAAACTCTACATTTTATATTGACAGATGTCCTAACGAATCAAATTGCGGCATCACTAAAAATAGGCGTGTCTATTTGTAAAGTCGAGTATTTTAGCCAATCAGCGTACATGTTTGTGGCTAAAAGGGCGGGATGAAGTTTACTAGCTTGTTTTTAGAGATAATGTCATCGGGTAAAAGTCTGTTAATAACGGCGTCTTGGTCGAAAATATTATTTGCGAGGTAATATTTTTGTCCTCATATTCTAAACACGATTTTGGTTTGCTTTTAACAAAAGTGGTATTTGTAAATAACGTGCGTGGTTAATAGTTTTACCTTGTTTTGTAACACTAGGCTAACAGGTTAGCTCAGTTGCTAATGTCTTTACAGGTTCTAGTTCTCATGAGCACTTTGTCATGTTTTTAGGACTTTTGCTCTTTTGAACAAGCCCAATGTGAGCGAACAGATCCGCCAGCTCCCTCGACACCCCCAAGCCCATTACACAGCGGGGCTCCGGGGCTTCAGCAGCGCCTCTGTCCAGGAGAAGTCCGGGGGTTCGACTCCCTCTGAGGACAACAAAATACACTTGACAGAGTCATGTGTGAAGGTAGGAAGATGCTCTGAATTGTGATGCTGGGACGGATTTGTAAACCATTGACCACTAGAAAGATTGTCTCCTTGGAATCATGTAGGTAGGAATTATAAAAAAAACTTTTGCCCTGTACAGTAAATGTCCAAATAATTTTGCACCATTCGAAGTCCTGATGTAAACATGATGGCAGTTTGACAGTTGAATAATTCAATAAAAAGTATTTTAGGTAAGGTTCTGTGTTTCAGAACATTGGTGTTCCACAAACAAGATTTACATTTATTTAAGGTGTTGGCAAGGTTTTGTGCTGTTCTCTTTAAAATTTACCTTACCCATGTTTACTATTGTTATAAAAGTCAATGAGAAAACAGCTCTAAAAGCATTTACCTATTTTCTGTTGGTGAATGTGTAAAAACTTGATCTGTAATGTTAATTAAATCCAGAGACTATCAGAAATCATGGAGAAAGGCGAGTTCCTGAGAATACACGTGGAGGGAGGAGGCTGCTCTGGGTTCCAGTACAAGTTTTCTGTAGATCGGAACAAGAACGAGGATGACAGGTAAACTCTGCACAAATCCAGCTCTCAAATTATTGTTTGTTATTGATGGCGACGTGTCCTTATCGTGCACCAAATCACTCCTGATTCTGCTCTCAGAGTGTTCGAGGAGGGAGGAGTGGGCGTTATCGTGGATCAGGACAGTCTGGAGTTCGTGAAAGGAGCCACTGTGGACTTCAGTCAGGAGCTGATTCGCTCCACCTTTCAAGTGCTGAAGAACCCTCAGGCTGATCATGGCTGCTCCTGTGGAAGCTCTTTCTCTGTGAAACTATGATCAATACTTTGATTCATCAGTTTAGGAGGTGTTTTAATACAAATTATTATCATATATTCATAAATGCTATTCTTGTTCACCAACAAGATAAGTGTGATTGCTAATTTAAGTCAAAAGCATTAGATCATTCAGGTTAGTCTTGTTCTAAATTAATAATTCTTGTCGTTACATTCAGACATGTTGGCACAATTGCATGAGTATTACCCTAATATGTCGTAAATGTGAGAGATTAATTGCACTACAGCAATGAAGATGTAAGCTTTAATTAAAAAAAAAAAAAAAACACCCATCAGCACATCAAGGTTTAGTTTGTCAAATAAGAAGCTTCACTGCCCCCCAAACGTTTCAAGTCCTTCAGTTAGTTTGACCTGATAGTATGACGTCTTGTCATAATGTTTCATCGGAGTATTTGAAATATTGTCGCCAAAACCCAACCTTATCTGCAGCTCAGACTGGTAATCAAACCTGAATTGATTTAAATGTTGCTGCTGCTAATTTTCCTCAGTAAAACAATAAAAATAGAATGATAGGGGAGTCTTTTTCAATCGTTTGTCGAATTCCTTTGGACAGCTAATTTATATGTTACTGTGTGGGCATCTATTAATGTGCCATGTGTGTGTTCTTGCATCTTGAATTGTAAAATTTCTATCGTAAAGTGTTTCTGAAAAGCACAACGAGAGAACTCACAGCTGCCACCATAAAGTGGTGACCTGAATGATTGGGTTAAAATGAATGATCAACAAATGTATTGATTAATCTGTGTGCTACTTAAATGCACGGTGACAATACAATCATCAGTGTTCCCTGTAATCATCTGTACTTTGGTTTGTTCCAACTAAACCAACGACACAGTTGACGTGTTTGAACACTCAGTTTTCTTTCCATGTAAAAATGTAAATAGGCTAAAACTCTAGCATGAATACAAAGTTTTACGTTACGTTTCATCTGAAATGAATAAAGGTTGATGAAAAATTTCTGTCGTCTGTTGAGTCTTTTATAAGCAACTCAGAAAAAAAGTTAAATTTTTTATGTAGCTATTGGCTAAAAGTAATAAGACCAGACTAAACTTCAATTTAGAACACTAGCTTAAACATTAGTGGTTTACCTTTGGCAGAATTGGCATTAGATTTGTTAACTAGGAATATTTGTAGTAGACTTGGCAGAAGTAGTACTAGTGGTACTGTATATACCCCTTTTCTCTCTCTCTCTCTCTCTCTCTCTCTCTCTCTCTCTCTCTCTCTCTCTCTCTCTCT